AGCTCCCTTCCCTGCCCATTTTCTGGGTGAGGTCAGCGATGACATACTTGTTCTGGCTCACTTCCCTCTCTTAGGTGCCATCTTTGACCTCTGCCAGAGGAGAAGGCCTCAAGGAGAAGGGTTGGGGCTGAGTAGCAATCTTCTGGCTTAATCACAAAGACCTAGTGCCTAAGGCCATGATAAAATACAGGAAGCCAGGCCCCTTTCATCTCTCCCCCTTTGGGCTGAAGGATGCTGCTTTACTACTGGAATCTGCTCTGCAGCTCGTTTTGGGGGCTGCCAATGCGGTTCTGGTCTCCAAAGGATGCTAACACTGAAACGAAAAGAGAAACAAAAGCAAAAACCAGAGACAGGACTGCCAAAAGGGAAGCAGCCTTACTCCATCTCTGGCTCTGTAACTCACAAAGAAATTATAGGTTGAACTATCAGTCAGTAAGGGCTCCCAGGGCTTCAACTGCTCAGAATTAAGTTGATTAGCTGCTCACAATTGAGACAGAATGAGAGCAAGTGTACATTTGGGGGCTTCATATCTGGCTAAAAATACAGGCCTGACAAAACACCTGTCACCCCTTCTTTGTGCCTCTCTCCTTCCTCCAGGGATGTCCCAGAGACTGAGTAAACTGTGGCACAGCTGCAGCTTTTGTCCAGCAACTTTTCCTACGTTGTAGAAATATTGGAACATATAGAAAATTATAAAGAAGAAAATATAAATAAATGACAAGCCTACCCAGAGACAACCATTGTTACTCTTTTGTTGTTTCCATTGTCTCTTTTAAATGCATTTTCTATATTTGAGACCATGTTCTAAATATAATTTTATGCTCTTCTATAATTTTCTTCTCTTTTTTCTGCACGTTATCTTTGGATGGACCTCTGCGGGGAAAGCATTATTATAGAGGTAGCTCAGGTGGAGGCCGCCTACTGGTGGCGGGGTCTGGCCTCAGGATGAGGCAGGCAGACGGGCACCTAACTCAGCCACCTGCACCCCCGCAGTTTGATCTGAAGCCTGAGACAGCAGGCTCTTGGGTTAAATCTGCTTCAAGCCCATGGAATTTTCAGCACATTCTGCCAATCTTTTACTTGTTATATACTTACCACTGTTCTTGGCAGTACAGCTTTTTTTATTTTTTGGCATCATGCACTTTACATTTGCATTTTCTTTCTTTAAAGCATTTTCTTAATGAAACAATTTATTCCTCAATATGAAAGAGCTTCCAGATTGAAAATGTTTCCAGTTTCCAGTATAGGGTGCCTAGAGTCTCCAGTATTTTTTTTTTTCTCTTTTAGTTTCTTGCTTTAATTTAGATTTTTTAAAACGTAATTCATCGAAGGTGATTTTGAAGATATGGGGGATGGAGAAGATAAACCTAAAAGGTAGCACAAGGGAAGGAAAGATGAACAAAACTTAGATAAGAACCACAGTATCTACTTTAAAGACACACCTCATAGATTCCTCCTGGAAGTCAAGATCAGAGAGGAGGAGAATTGTGATGTTGTCTGTGTGCTGTAAAAAGACCTGTTAAGCAAGATTCATGTGCACGCATGCCTGTGTGCCCGTGATGAAATCATGTTTTAAAGAGGATTCAGCTGCATTATATTTATAACCATGGGGTTGCTACCAGCTACCAGCATGTCTCCTTGTGGTGCTTCACTTCTCTTTTCTCCGTGTCCTAATTCTGTTCTAAAGCGTGCAGCTTCAACACAGCAGCCTGTTAGTCTGCACCCTGGCCCCATTGCACACAATTCCAGCTGTGGCTCCCTGGGAATCCTGCTCTGGTCCCTCACAGGCCTATGTTCTGACACGTTTGTCTCCGGCTGCAGCAGAGAGTTTGAAGTGTTGAGGATCAAGACCCTGCCTTGGCTGTGAAGAATGAATCTCTCCATGGGGGTCCTGTCCTATTTGGTCAGAATAAATGGACAACTGGAGCTTAACTGGATCTGAATGTGAGGCTCATTCGCCAACACCAACTCACCAGTTTCCCAGGATAACAAACAAGTGATTAGGTAGTGCTTCTTAAACATTAGTGTACTTCAGAAGCACTTGAGAAAGGCAGTTAAAATGCAGATTTCCATGCCCCACCCAGAGTTTCTGACCTCATAGTTTTTAGTAGAGCTTGGGAATCTGCATTTTAGTCAAACACTTTAATGTGATTCTGATACTGGAGGTTCAAAAACCACACTTTGAAGAGCACCAGGATTCTGGTGTCCTACCCTGCTACTACCCTCAATGCAGCAAAACAATACATTGTTCCACCCTCCTTCTACCTCCATCCCTTAGGCTGCATGTGTTGAATTATTAGGTGTAGCCTTAAAGTTCCTCTTAACCCTCCATCACCTTGCTAATAACAGGCACACTGAGGAGGGGCACACACTGTGATTTAGTCCAGTTTAGTATCTCCTTAGGGATGGCCCAGGGCCCCACCCACTCAGGAAGATGTAGGCTGGACCAACCATACCTCTCTAACTAGAAGACAGACATGCAGGGTGCTATACAGAAAACAAATTCCCAGGATGGTGGACAAGACCCCTGCGTCCTATGATTCACTCTGGCATAAGCTCTTCCCCAAGTGCCCTGACTCCTTGTTGACGTACACACAGGCACATACTCTGAGCACACATTTGAAGCTCACTTCTGTGGGCATTCACTTTCAAGTCCCCATGTACATCTGGGTTCCCTTCCCTCAGTCCATCTCCCATTTCCAATTTCTCAGCTCTTATGTTCAAGTTTTGCATAAAATACCACTGTTATGTATGTCTAGATATTCAAACTCTTTTGTGCACTGTATGCCCATGCCCGTGTGCGCGTGTGTGTGCGCACACACACGCACATGTACAGGGTAAATGGCAGAGCAAAATACATCATCATATCAACTCTCTGGTCTAGATGCCCCTTTTATGGTGTAAAGGACATAGGCCTTGGAGTCAAAAGACCTCAGTTCAAATCCTACCTCTGCCACTTACTAGCTACCTGATCTTAGAGAAGTTAATTAAATTGTCTGGGCCTGAGTTTCCTCATTAGGATTAAATAAGACAGCTTATAAAACATCTAGGACTGTGCCTAGAACCTAATAGGAAACCCACAAATGTTAGGTACCTCCTTTATTTTTATTTTATTTCTTTGTATATGAAAGGAAATAGTCCTCCAAATTTCTCTCACACAGCGAGTGTATTAGTCAGGGTTCTTAAATGCAAGCATCAGAAATCATCTCTGGCCAAAATAAGCAAAGAGGGAATTTATGAGAGGATATTGGGTGGCTCACAGAATCCCCAGGGCAGGAAGGCTGAAGAGCTAGATGCAGAAAATGGGCTGGAACCCAGGCGGCTACGCAACCCCAGCCATGGCCAAAATCACACCTCAGAGCAGGCTGGCAGCCTGACCTTGGCCACTGCTGCCCCCGAACACTGGATGCTGCTGCCCCTTGGTGGCAAGATGGATTCTCCACCATCTCTGCTTCTTGCCTCACTTGCTCCAGATTCAAAAAGCTCTGAGTGAGAGACTGGGCCTGTAGTCCAGCTGTGGTGGTCAAGGAGGCGGCTCTACACTATTTGGCTTCCATAGTTGGAATCCCTCAAAAATAAGAAAGGAACTCAGATGTCAGGCAGCCATAAAAGACCACTCACTGTCCAGAGCCTATTCTTGCCATATCTGATGTTCGCGTCTCACCCCTATTTCACAGTACATCCATTCCTAAGCGTGTGGAGTCCTTGTCTCCGGGAACTCTCCTCAACCTCAAAACCACTGTTTTCAGAGGCAATTGGATACCTTTCTGCCTTGTCTCCTTTCTTTCCTCTGCCCAGAATTCCCCCTGCCCTGTCCCCTTTCCACCACCAATCCCAGAGCAGCCCAAATCTAGCCCATTCTGCAAATGCCTATTGAGATGTTACCTCTTTATTGGGGGGCTGCCCCCCACTAAATCGCTCCTTCCTGTATGTTCCGAGGGCACCTTCTCTATGTCTCCATTACTGAATTCGCCTCGTTTTACCACGGATGTGTGTTCTGTGTTTAATGGTCTGATCTTCCTCCCTCTCCTGGACCCAAGATGAGGCTCCTTAAGGGCAGGAAGTCTGTCTTATTCATCTTTGTAGCCTTGGTTCTTCGCACCTAGTGGATGCTTACTATACGTTTGTTAAACAAAGCATACGTTTCTCAGTTGTCTCTCAACACACATTTAGACTCCTTTCCTACACACACGAGACAGATCTGTTTAAAAAATGTAAATAATCCATGTGAACGTGCCCTGCAAACTGTAAAGTGCTGGACAAACGCACTTGATCTTGGCCAAAAGGCCGAGAAGCGATGTGTCGGACAAATGTAAGCCGTTATAATGCTTATTTCATTCTAGTTTTACACATTTTCTATTGAAGAACTGTATGCCCTTATTCTACCTCATAACGTTTTAACAGGACAAAGTTAGGACGCGGGATTCCCGCCTACCTTTTCCAATTCTGCGGCGCGTCTCGGCTCCTTGCACTGTCAGCAAGGGGCCAGACGGAGGGGCGGGGGTACAGCAAAGCAAACACCCTTGCCTAGAGGACTTGCTCAGAAGTTGTGCCGAGTCCCCGCAGGTGCCCACTCTCCGCGCTCCGTCCCTCCCTCCCAGCTCGGGTTGGCTGTAGGCACAGGCATACGTCAACTCCCCCCCCTCCGTCCCCAACCCCTGGTCTGGCTCGGGTTCCCGAACGCCGGCTTCCCAGGGAGCAGCCCCGCTGACCGCTCCGGGCTCCGCGCCCCCTCTCCGGGGTGCACTTTGTCACTCGGGCTGACCTCCGGCCGCAGGCGCCCGCACGTGACCCAGAAACTTTGGCAGCCCCGGGGCGGCG